GATGATGATGATGATGATGATGATGATGATGATGATGATGATGATGATGTTATGGTATTGGGGGATCAAAAATCAAAAACTGAAGAAGCTACTTCTGACAGATATAGTTCAGGAACTGCAGGGAGACTTCTCTGTTGTAGCCCCAAACTCGTACTTAAATTCCTCTCCTCCCTAGAAAATCACGCCATCTTCTCAACCAGGTTACACATGTTCTAATTATGTAGATGTGTGGGAGAGGCACCCTGGAGATCTTATCCACTATTCTGCGTCTCAGAACGGTGGGTGTGGGGACAGGACAAGCGACTGGTACACAGTGCGAAGATCTCTCAGGTTGCACTCAGGAACTTGGTGGGTGGGCAAGGAATGTGTGTATGGTGTGCTTTGTGTGTGTGCGTGCACACACGAGTACCCTGGTGTTCCTTTGTGTGTGTGTGTGTGTGTGTGTGTGTGTGTGTGTGTGTACGCGCACACGAGTGCCCTGGTAAAATTCATGCTGCGCATATCTGCCGTAGAATTCATTTAGGGCATTTGTTCCAAGAGGTTCTAGAACAGATTTAGCCTAGAGGGCAATATGCTCAAAGTCCCCTAAAGCATTCAAACCAAGATTCAAATGTTGCATTGACTGATTTTTTTGGACCAGATTTTTATTTTAAGATACCAACTTGAGCATCACTGTTGACCGAATGAACAACTGCACAAAGTACACACAAAACATCCCCAGATACATGACACATGTTAGTTCAAGTGAAGGCAATCCAGGTTGGGGGGAGGGGTAAGCAAAGGAAAGTTAATAAAGCTTTAATGGACATGATATTATCCTGGGTATCAGCTAGCAAAAATCAAAAAGTTGATGTCTTGGCATTTGGATTATTTGACATTTTTAACTAGGATTTTACATTTGCATACATAAATAGTTTACCATAAGTCTATCTGAACAAAAAGTCTACTTCCTAGAAAAAAATCAGTTTTATCTCTACCTACAAGGTGCCAATTCCCAAGCCTATTTTTGAGATGGGGAACTTGCAATGTACCATTTGAACCAAAGGTGGCGACAGAGCTCAGCTTTGTGAGATTGTGAGGCTTGGTGAGCATTTTCACAAAATTTAATTTGAATGCTTCTTATCGCCTGTCTGCCTTTCTCTGTCTGTGCCCCATCTCTGCCTCACTTTCAAAAAGGAAGTGTAGCTCTGTATCACTGAAGAAGCTTTGCCTCACTGTTTCTGCCATTAAAAACGTTTACAGCACTCCCGTGACAAGAGACTATCAGCCCTGTTCTCTGGAAGCCTAGAGCCGTGTGTGTGTGTGTGTGTGTGTGTGTGTGTGTGTGTGTGTGCGCACGCGCGCGCCTGTGGCTGTTTGTGCATCTGTGTGGGTGTCTGTGTCTCTGTGTGTGCTTGTATCTATGTGTCTGTGTATGTCTGAGTGCATCTGTGCGTGTGTCTGTGTGTGCATGCATGCATGCTCGATATTAAAACATACGTTTACTCTTAGTTCACTCAGTACATTTTTGACACAGATGTCCTCAGACAACACATATGTCTTCTTCCCTGGTGACTTCCATGCTACAATGAATGATTTGTCTACACACTCATCCCTTCCAACTCTCTTGAGACAATCTTGCCCAGACTCTGATCATAGAATTGTATGACAAAGAAAGCTTGGAAACTTGCTTTTCAGTGGAGGTTCTTCTACCTTGGAACATGTAGACAGACATTTATCATAGCCACAGCATATGGACTACTACTGCCCATGTTAGCTTGTCTACATAGATGGCTACAGACTCAACATTTTTTAACTTGGATTATTATTTTTATATTGTTATTATAAAGCTATGCATTTTCCAAACTGGTTTTAGAGAACCCCACACTGAAGGATCGTGCACATCTGGGGAAAACGGGTTATCTATGATCTTCTTGCATGCTCTTTTCTGTTCCACTTGCGTCAACCACAGAGGCTATTGCACTGTTCTCCGACACGTACACCACACGCTATGGTGTTATAGGTGTGTATTTGAGTCCAGAGGGCACCTGCTGAGATTTCCAAGCTTCCACATCATGGAATGAAGAGATGGATAGGGACACACAGATAGTGATAGAAGAGGAGGCCGTTTATTAAGAAAACACATTCCTGAGACTGGACATTGCCTGGACCAGGACTTGA